TCAGGTGCCTTGGAGAATAGTTTGACTCCCTCTTCTTTGTGGCAACCCCTGGGATATTGGAACACTGCTATCATGTCTCGCCTTTTCATTAAACTAGACATACCCAGTTCCTGCAACCGTTCTTCATATGTTTTATCCTCCAATCTCCTAATCATCTTTGTTGCTCTTCTCTGCACTAGAGTCTCCTTTAAATCTTTTAAAGCTTCTTTATACCTTTTTTATACTGTAATCACATTAGGTTTAGCTGCTCTCTATTTTTCCTCATTGGAATTATTTGTAATTGTGCTTTCAGTGTTTCTCTCTTTTGGGAAACATCTTCATTTTAGATTCTCTTGTCATAAAATTTTACTTATCCTTGCTTTCAGTTTATTACTGTCCAGTCTAAAAAACAGTCCCATGGTGTTATGCCATTTTCAGCTTTATTTTCTACTAAAATCAAGAAGTTTGGTATCACGTACCCATTTTACATTACCATTTCTTCCAATATTGTCATTTTTAGACATTTCTTCTGACTTTTCTTCTGAAATGTGCTCATGTTGGAGATTTTGCACAAGTCTGTACATGTATGTTGAAGGTTATAATGTTTTAATCAGTGTTTTTAACTGGTGTAGTTAATGTTTGGGTTTCAGGCAAGATTATAGGTGCTACTAAATGTTTTAATCCGGTGTGGTGTCTCCTTGATTCTTTGGCTAGCTGTTCCAAGCAGAATATTTCATTTGTTCTGTGTATTTCTAATGCTTGCTGTGTCCAACAAAAAGCATTCCAACTGTCTCATTTGGCCTGGAAGCTTCTAATATTTTCATATATATACTATATATATAGTCTCCTTGAATTTCCTGGGACATGTCCTTGTCCTTGTGGCTTTCTTCATGCTCATTTCCTAGAATTACATATTTTTCTTTGAACAGTTACAAAAAAAAGGTCATCCTTCTTCTCTAAGATTCCTTGAATTCTGTCCTCTTTCTCCTCCCCCCAAATCAATTCAAAAGTTGCTATGCCACTCTTCTGACATTGGGTGCCCACAGTTTGGTACACTTTGTCTCAGGTGCCACCCATTCTTTTGTAAAGACCAGGTTTATCCCAGAAGATATCCAGTGCCTCATGAATCTAAACCTTTCCTCCTGGCTTCATTATGTCAACCATACACTGAGACTACTCAGCCTTGCTTGTCTAATTGGCCCTATGTGGAACAGTCACGACTTATCTGGTAAAAACATTCCTGTTAAATAGCAAACCATCATGAGGTATGAATCATATCTTTTGAATTAAGTCTGTTTTCTAGGTGATTGAAATCATACAGGTTGATTAGAACTCGGTTAACTAATATATTACCTAGCTTGCTTCAAATAGTTTTCCCCATTTCCTGCAAGAACATATATACATACGTATCAACCATGTTTAACTACAAATATCCCCATTTACAAAGCATTTGTCTTGCCAAATCACATAATCAGAGCCATACTAAGCAGGGACCAAAGGAAATATGAGGTGATGTATCATATTATCTTTAGCCATGACAACTTTATATTGATGAGAAAAGGTGGCTTGATGGGGACAAGATTTTAATTTTTTTTCTTTGGCAAAACAGGAGTTTTAATTTTGGTCTGAGAATGAGAAGAAATTTTCCCATGATGATTCCAAGTTTATTTAGGTAGGACAATCTATTGTGGCCTCTCTTTGTAGGAAACAATATTAAAATAAAAGATCCATCAAATACTACATAAGTTCTCATCACAAAGCCTCTTCTAAGTCAAGCTCAGCTCCTGGTGACTTCATGGATATACTTTTCATGACAACAACATGACACTGACTTTTTTGGGCATGTGTTTTCAAATTCCTTGCCTAGCCAATTGTCCTAATGTTGTCACATCCAGGTATTAACCAGGTCTGGGGGCTTTTCATTTTACTTCTGTAATGGTTATCCAAATAATTCTGGAAGTCTACATGTAGACTAAGTTTTTTTACAGAGGCTATATGAAGATATGATGTAAAAATGATCTAGTATCAACTATAATTTCAGGTCAGTGTGTTAAATAATACTTGCAATTGACTCATTTTGGTTAGAAATTCAGTTCAGGTGATTTATTTGAAAATAACAAAGCTGGTTGTTTGTCATGGTATCTATATTATTTTATTTAAATAAATCAGTTTTTTAAGCACTATATTGTTATTTATATGAAAAGCAGGGTAAATAGGAGGCTATAGTAAATATCTTCCTGTTTTCAGCTGATTCTTACATACTGTATCTTAACTCTTGATTCAATTATTATAGATCCTTAAATGGACTTGGCACAGTTTGCCTCCATAATTCTTTACCCCACCCTAATTGCTACTATGTTGATGAAAAATTGTGAAGAAAATTATTATTAGATTTATTGAAAAACCATTTTTCAATAAAATGTTTTTCTTTACCTAGATGTAGTATTAGCAAAATCCTGTAATGCAAAATCCATCATAGTTGATGATTTCAAGATAATATATTCTATTAATTGTATGACTCATGTTTAAAAATTATATAATTTTGTGACTCCTTGTCACATGTGCGCCTTTGAAATGTTAGTTGTTTCTTTGTACAATTAAAGGATTTTTAATATTTTTTAAAAAAATCATATTTATCTGGAACTGCAGGAAGGAGCGTGTGAACTCATGAAGATAACGTTTGTGTTTAAACGGACTACTGGTTCAGTGGAGGAAATCACTGTTGTAAAAAAATAGGCAAATGCACATTGGTTGCTTTATTGCTGTGGCTATTGCATAAGGAGAAGGAAAGACAGCCTGTGGTCTTTGGGCCACATATAACTTGTCTAATTTAATTTTGCCTTTGGTCAGAAACTTTGTATAGTACATGTAGTGCATTGAGTAGTTTCTGTCTCATTGTGCATCCTAAGGGGTGATGTAGAAAGGAACAGGCTATGTTGGGGAAAGGGGACAAAAGGATGCTAGAGAGAAAATGAGTGACTCTGTTCAGTTTTGACTCTTCTTCCACCCACAATTTGCTTTAATTCTACTCATCTTTGACACATTCCCCTCTGCATATTCTTCTCAAGGAAATTCAGCTTTCAGCTAGAAAATGTTGCCAACCTCTGCTATCCATTGAGATCAGTTTTCAAGAAACTTAGTTGTGTAATCAAAGCACAATTAGAGCTTCATTGGTTCAAATATGATGGTATATATAATGCTATCAATTAGAAGACTGCTGGATTGCAGTCTTCTAGAAATTCTTCTTCTAGAAATGATCTCTCGATTTTGCACATGCTCTGTTCTTTTGCTTTAGTCCCTTCTGTTGTTTTCACATTCCTCCCTCATTATTGCACAGAAGCATTAATTTAGTTAAATATAAGGCTGTGTTTAATTTTATAATACATTTCTAATTCATATCCATTGAAGAATACTTTCTTTTTCCCCTCCCTTTTGATTCATGCTTTAGGAGACGTTGATAATTACTGATTCAGCCGTGGAAGTCCTAGAACTGTGGTTCTTAGAATGGCATGGAATTACTGACTGCTAAGTAAGTTGATGGTATTTGCTATACATTTGTGTAAAAGAAGCAAATTGTTTAAATATATGCATTAGAAGCTGATCTGATGTAACATGGGACCAAGTCAAAGATATTTACTTTGATTTTATTGTTAATTATTGGATCAAATAATCCTCTCCTACATTTTGAAATAATTATTGCAAATAAATATTCTATTATTTTTAATAATAGAATATTCTTGCTTGCTATGTTGTAGAGGCAGTCACTTGTGCTAAATGATAAATGTTCTTTGTACATTGGATTGCATTATTTAAAGACTGGAAATCTGAAATTGACTGGTTGAATTTCCCACACAGGAAAAAACTGCCAAGGTGTTGGACTAATGACTCATATGCTTTTATTTCCCATTACGGTAACAGAATTGGATTTGTTTCTCAATATTAACTCTATTTTAGAACATGAAATTCTAGCCCGCATTCACCAGAAATGTCTAAAGACAAACATTTTCCTAAATCGTATATTACAGTGTTAAATATTTGGCTTTTAGATTATATATTGAAATAATTGAAACCTAGTATAGCAAGGCATGCAGTAACGTTTTGAAATTTTTTTTAAAAAAGGAAAGAATTATTACATTTGGAAGCTCACTGCTGGAAATGAAATTTATAAAGAGATTTATTCCCTGTAGGTCATATTATATCAATGTTCAGTAGAACTTGTTTATCCACAGGCTTGGCACATATATAAATATAGAAAGTTGCTGTACATTTTCATCTAATCATTAGCTACTGTAGCTCACTATTATCAAAACTGAGCTTTTCAAAAATTTAGAGTAGTACTTATGCAACAATTCAGCTTTTCAAAGAATGTTCAAATATTTGTATTTTGATAGAGCTTAGAGAAATTTGAATAAGCTGTAACTGGATCTTATGTGGTTAGAAGTGGCTAGCTGCACTGTGTGGAAAAGGTTGGTTAAGCCTAGAAGACTAGACTCCCAACTTCTGAAATTTTATATNTAAGTGGTATTGATTCTGATTTACTTTCTAGATATTAGTTAGTGAGGTGCTGCCACCTGCTGTGATAATACTAATAATATGTTGTATAAAATTTAATAATGGGAAGTTTATAATTTGGAAATTATAAAGATACTTAGAGAATCCCAGAGGATCAATCAACCCTACAGCAGTGCTTAGAAAAGTTGGATTTTTTTCATCTCGTTATATTAGTATTTTAATAAGCAAGAATATAATTAAACAGATATCTCTTAGCAAAAGTTCATGAAAATGCCCTTATCTTAACATAAGAATGAATGTTGCAGAGATTATGTTTGAAGTGATTGCACTTCCTTACCAGATGGCATCTACCTTACCAGATGTTGACAAAAGGAAGCATCATAAACAGTTTCATGTATTCCCAAAGTGCTGGTGAAGCTTGATTTTGAAGTGCAGTACTGGAAGTTATAAATATTTTCCAAGCTTGAATCACAAGTTTGTAATTCAATGAGAGAATTTCACATTTTGCATGTTGGTTCTCTGGTAGCCATAAATATAGTAAATATATCATGTTTGCTAGTAAATATGTTCACAATGTCACTCAGGAAAAGTTGGGCTTCTGTCAGACAATGGCAGACTAGAACATTTGCACATCAGTACTTTCGCACTATGCCATCAGAAAATGGTGTTTCCATTCAGTAGAAAAATCTGCGTGTAGGGAGAAGAAAAGCATGGCCAAGGAAAGAAATTGCTGAAAGATGAATTGATGCCAAATATAAGAGAGTAAATATCTGCATTTGTGTAACAGTAGAATCAGAATTTTGCTTGATAGACTTGAAGCTAAATTGTTAAAATCTTATACTTAGCCTTTTACAATTCCTGTTGACTTCTTGTAACCTCTACAGATTTTGCATAAAGGGTACAAGCATGAGCAATCACTCTTCTTAACACAAGGGAGATCCTAGGCGATAAGAAATCTTGATTCATAGATGTAAATACCTGTACTTTATATACCCTGGACTACTAAACATTGGAGAACATGCATTGCCAGAATTAGAAGTACCGATTCTTTTTTTTTTAAAAAAAAAATGCACCGGACCATGATTTTGAAGAGGTAAATTGAAAAAAAAAAGTTTTTACACTCTGCAGGCCTTCTAAACCCTCTGCACGCCTTGTTTTTTGCAAAAAGTGGGGGCATGCAGAGCTTTGTAGTGTGCTCCTGGGGGCTGGGGAGATGGAAATGAGCAAAAACGGGCCTTTTTTGCTTGTTTTTGCCCTCCCCAGCTCCCAGGACCACTTTACAAGCCTCCCAAACCCCCTGCACATTCATTTTTGAAAAGGGGGCAGAGTTTCAGTAGGCCAAAAACGCTGTATTTAGTGTATAAGACACACCCAGATTTTCACTCTCTTTTTGGGGGAGGGAAAGGTGCGTCTTATACTCCGAAAAATATGGTATGTTATATTTACTTAACCCCAGAAAGCTTACCATATTTGCAAATAGATTTGTTACCTTGTTTGTTAAGTTCTAGTCTCCAAATGACGTGATATCGTGGGTGTTATAAACTATCCCTTTTTAAAAAAAAGTTAGTGGTAGAGAGGCTATAGAGCTTTTGTTCATTTTCATGGGAACCATAAATACTGGTCAAACAGAAATTAGTTGAAGGGTAGCGATATATTCTTAGAAGTCAGTGCTTGAATTACTGTGCTGCATTGAATAAGTCAATTATTTTTTACACAGCCTAACTCGTGTGTCAAACTCGATTTCATTGTGGGCCGCATCAGGGTTCTGTTTGACCTTGGGGGCCAGGGTGGGCATGGCCATCTTAACGTGACTCATGTTGAGGATGTCTGTGAGGATGTATTTTGGTTTGGTTTGCAACATATAGACACACTCTGATAATGTTTTTGGAACTAATTTAATTAATTTAGGATTATCAGATCTTGGATGAAAAAATTGGAAAACAACTACTGGTAGATGGCAGCAATTTTTCTCTTCCTTGACCATTTAGTGGTCACTCTGATTTTCACAACCCTATTCTAATAATCCTAAATTTAATTAATTCTAATAGACGTGAAAAAGATCAGTAAGTTAGTATATTAAAGAGAGCATAAGTCACTAGCATTTAAGTCATTTCTTAAAAATGCCCCCTTCCATTATATAACTTTCTTCAGCTTATCTGCTGAATTTGACATCAGTGTTCCTTTAGAAAAGGATTAGTATATTAGAAAATATTTTGTTCACACCCTACTAATTTACAGACATCCTTAATTTTTTTTTAAATTAAGTGTTAACAATAACAACAATTTGACAATGTAACTAATTAACCAGAGCGTTATTGAGTTCCCTTTCCTTGGGTAAAATAAAAAAGAAGCTTAATGGTCATATTTGATAATAATTGGGGTTCCTACACTGAGGAATGGATTGAACTAGAACTTAAATAGCCTCTAACAGCTTTGATTCTATGGGTATGCGATAATACAGTGGATGAAGGCAAACAAAAGAATTTGGAGTTCAGACAAGACAGAGACATTGTTAACAGGTTATTTATCAGTCTGCACAAAGGGGATTCAGCCTAGACTTGTGACATTGTACTAAGGTTCGATGGTAGGTTTCCTTTTTTTTTTTACTACTGGTTTGTGCATGCGCAGAGCCACTGAGCTGGTGGGCGGAGACTCCCGCCGCTGCCACTACCGGTTCTCCTGATCTGGGCCAAACAGGAAGCAACCGACCTCTGGTTCAGGTTGACTGTTCAGAGGTACTCCAGGATTCATCATTTACTGGAGTTACTCTTATTAATACTAACCATTTCCGAAAATGATGATGGTAGCTACCCAATGTTACAAGATTGAGTGGTTTCAATTCCTCCAAATTACAATTAACATTTACAGACAAAACAAGCAGAAAGTAATTTATTTGCAGAAATTCTAGATGCTGCCTAGACGAGCCAACTTCGCCCTAGAAAATGTCTAGCTGATATGTAAAATGTTATATGATTTATGGTTTGAAAAACATCAAGATTTCTCTCTAAGAAATCAGAATTATCTGAATCTACTCACATGTAGCTAAATTAGGCCAAATATATCAGTCAGAAGAAAGTTTAGAATTACTATCTGTATGGCAGTTTGCATCCAGGAATTTTTAATGGCTTGCCTGCCTGGCAAAAATTCAACAAATTAATATTTTTCTTTTTCACTTCATCTCTATAAAGGGAAAAAGTAGCTTAATGTTGAGTTTGTAATTGCCATTCATCTTTTGAAAGCACACTGTATCAGATAAATAACACAGGATTTTTTTTCCTGATCTTGTGAACTTACTGAAGTTCTATTCATGGAAACTGAAACACAGACATTCCAATATTTACCACATCTTATCCATTATAAATTCCTTATGCAGAGTCCAAGAATGTACAGGTAGTCCTCAACTTGCAACAGTTTATTTAGTGACCTCATTGAAAAAAGAGATGATCGCTTTTCACACCTACAACCATTGCAGCATCCCCATGGTCACAGGATCAGAATTCAAAGGCTTAGCAACTGACTCATATTTATGATGATTGCAGTGTCCTGGGGTCAAGTGATAACCTTNTATATATCTATATCTATCTATCTATCTATCTATCTATCTATCTATCTATCTATCTATCTATCTATCTATCTATCTATCTATCTATCTATCTATCACTTGAGTGGATAAACAAAAAAAGATGTTTCATCTTAGGATGCCTGTGAAGCTTTTGCTTTCAGAGAGGAGAAAAAAACAAGCTAGGTTCAAATGTTCAAACAGAAACCAAGATGCTCTCTGCCCATGTTATGAAAATCTAGCATGTAAATTAGGCTGACTTTAATTGTTTTATTTAAAACCCTAGGTTCATCATTTACTACCTTTCCTTATTCTTTTTTATTTTCACTTTCCAAAATAAGTTGCTTTTTTTTGTAACTGGATATTTGGATCTATCATTTTTAAAAAATAATTTCTCACGATAGTTGAGGGCTTCCACCAAAGGGACGAATCTTTCCTCTCTTTGCTGTTGCTTTGATTATCTTAAATGGAAGTTATTTGAATAACTATTTCTACTAAATAAATGTTGCAATAAATAATAAATAAATTCTTCATTTTTTTCCTTTACAAAGATGTGCTTTTTTAAAAAGAAACCCACCATTTTAAAATACAAGGTATTGTTTTAGAGAATACCATTTCTGTCGGAAGACCAAAGGAAATACTAGAAGAATTAATCATGTGACTGAGAATTTGAGCTGCTTGTCAGATGGTGAGTACCTTGTCACGGTTCTGAAAAATAACACAATTTCTGTTTTACTTAAAGACACTGAACAACTCATAAATATCCTTGATGTTATAGGAGTTGGTATTTCAGAAGACTCATTATTTTGTCAATCTTTTGTGAGTCCTCACTCCCACCAATCTTCAGCCAGTAACTTCAGCTAAATTTCCTGTGCATTATTAAGCTTTTGTAAGATAACTAGTTTGAAGGATCCTAACTAAACAACATGTTTAGAAGAAACCAAAAACATTTATGTTCTCTCTGCTTTAATGTTCTGACAAGATATTAAGGGTGAGTCCAAAACGTGCCATCTTATACAGAATTTACATAGCTCATGTGCTTATGGATTCTTTATCCCTTGATACTCACACCTTTGAGTTTTATCTAAATGGAACAAAATAGTAGCACCTTGGACAGCAACTTATCAGTATTGAAGGCTTATCTTTAACTTACACAAAAAAGCATGCATGGGCGCACACACAAGAAAAAAGAAAGGCTTAAAACAAAACAATTCTAAAGGTTAGGATTATTTGTGCATTTTGAGAACTGTGTACAACTAAGTAAGGAACCTAGTTGTGTTACTGCAGCATTGATTAAATAATTGATCAACTCGAACCTAAATAAGAGGTCATGTTGCATTTGCTGAACGAAATACGAAGAAATTACTGCAAGAACAACAGAAATAGGGGTAATTGAAGTAGAGTTTGGGACAATGTTCATCTAATGGCTGATTTCATTTATGTTTAGAATAATATCAAAGAAATTTGACTTTGTTAGATTGGTCACACTGCAAATACTTTGGTTTTTCTTAAAAGATGATAAATATTTTAATAAAAATTGATTTCTGGTGTACATTGTTACCTTTGTTTGTGATCAGCTCTTGGGACAGAATTAAACAGCATATAACCTAAATCCTAACTGAAAAGTAAGATTGGGTTTGGGATTTTTGGTTTATCATCTAAATTCTTTAATAACTAAGTAACTGGACTGTTTCAAAATGCAAACAGAAGCCAGAACTCTTTCTCACTAGACAATGTGTATCTAGAAAATCTGTATGTCCAAGAAATAATTGCAACCCATTCATATAGTGCCATCATCAGCTGCTCTTTTAAGATTAGATTTCACAAAATACTTTACTTGCTCTTGCTTAAAATGCAACATTGGATCAGCAATGGGAAATTAACTTGTCCTCAAATCTGCACAGAACACTAAGTTTGAATTAATAATGGCTTAGTCTTCATCCCTAGTTTACAGTACATGAATTTTAACAACTGTTTTTAGCAAGTCCAATAAGTGAAGCTTTAAGAATGCTGTTAAGGGATGCTGTTCTTCATATAGATGTGAAACCAGGGGAACCTCAAAATATTATTACCATATCCACAGAGTTTTCCTTGTGGCATGGGATTTTGTCTTGTATTGTGTCAATCACCAGGGGATCTTTATGTTATGCCTGTAAGGATAATTGGAATAATTGCCTTTAAAATCTAATGTAATTGAAATGCCCCTTTAAAAGCTAATATTTAATTGGTACATTTCTAAGAACTCGTTGAAAAAATTGTTAATACAAACTAAATAACTTTTAATAGATTATTAGTAATGTATGTGCCTTGTTATTGATGTTCATCCAGACTGTATCAGGCTTGCTGATAACAGATGGGAATCATTCCTATTTTCTGTGTTTTTCCACTAAAGGGTTGTGCATAAAATGACAGAATATTCTTAGTTTAGAATTATGGTTAGTATTATTCAACTTTGGTAAAATAATCACATTAGTAGAAATTTTGAAAGACTACTGTTTGTCCTCAGCTTACAATGGTGATTATGATGGGAATTTTGGTCACTAAGTAATGAAGTTTTAAAATATGGCATCACATGACCACCCTTAATGATGGTAATCCTGCTAGTCCTAGTTGCCGTCATTAAGTGGTATGGGTAACCTACGCAACAATCTGATAAGATGCAGCTCAGTTTGCAGGTGGGGGGGGGGAAGCATGGCAAGCATTTCAGAAGGGACCCTCCCTAGTTTTCCAGAGACTAAAAAGAGAAGAGGGGAAAAATACTTTCAGTCTTGCAAGATTCTGTTACAGCAATGAAGGATTAGTTCATCCAGGTGTGTTTCTCGTCTGGACTATCTTGTAAAGCTGACAGTCACAACTTGTTCACCTCTATACAGACCCTTATTGCCTCTATACACTGGATAAGCAACTAAAGAAGAACATGACTAGCTCAGGAATTCTGGGAGTTGAAGTCCACAAGTCATAAAAGGGCCACAGTTCCCCAGCCCTAAACTAAAGCAACACTTGTAAAACCCAGGGCAGAGATTATAATATAGCATGCTGAGGATTCAGTTCAACCCCCCCCCCCAATTCCAGCAGAAGACCTCATCTGGTTGCTGTTAAATAGCAGTAGAGAAAAAAAAGAGCTCCAAGTCACCCCATTCAGTTAGGGTCTAGGGCAGTGATGGCTAACCTTTTTGTCGTTGTGTGCCGAAAATGACAGTGCGCGTGCACATGCCCAATACATGCACACACACACATACACCTTTGTGCCCTGTCCCCTTGAGCATGCGCACGTGACACCTCACACTCCCTCCACCCCCATGCATGTGTGTGACCTATGACCCATTTTGGGCCTATCAGGCTTCAATAAACCTCCTGGTACCTACAGGGGTCCCCGTGATGCACCCCCATGCTCCTCCCACCTCTGCACATGTGTGTGTGAGACATCCTGCCCCCACACACATATGCATGCGTTTCCCACATGTGCCTTGTTCCCCGCGCATGCATGGCAGAGACCCGAAAATCAGTTGGCTGGAGAGAGTCGCATGCGCGGTGGAGCTGGTTGGGGCGACAGCTCGCGTGCCCGCATAGAGGGCTCCGCATGTCACCAGTGGCATGCATGCCATAGGCTCGCCATCAGGGGTCTAGGATTTTCTTTCCCTCCAATGCCAATTAGAACTCTCCTACTTGGAGGAAGGAGAAGCAATGCAAAGCTGGGCCTCTCAACCTCCTGAGCTGATTTAGAAGCTGCTGAGAAATCCAGAAGAGCCCAGATAGGTGTATCACCCTGTAGAAGTCAATTGCAAATGCAACTAATGCTGTTTTGGTACTGATTGGAAAGAAGTGCAGATAAGGACTAGCAGACACTACCTTCTTAGCTAAACTATTTTCCTATAATGTCTGAACAAGGAAAATACAATTTAAATGTGCTCTGGAAGTCGGCATCAAAATACTCTTTGGAAGAGCTGCCTGAAAGTAGTTTGCTTGTGCAGATTTTATGGGAAACCATGGTTTAAGAACGTGAAAGAAATGAAATATTCAAGCTTGTTGCTCATTGTTATTCCAGCAAGACCTAAGAAAGGGGTTTGGAATCAAGAACACTGTGTAAATTAAACTTTTATGTCTTCTGGATGCTCATTAAAGTAACTGTGGTAGGAAATGAAATTGATGTGGGCCTCCTGGGCCACGTACTAATTTAAGTTATTTATTTTTGTGTGGGTGGCCAGGACTACTCGCACATAAGCACTTCAGAGAGAACTAGAATATTTATCAATTTCACAAGTAATAGGTTTGTAAGTTAAATAGTTCTCCAGGGTCAAAGAGCTGCAGAAAACTATACCTTTCAGGATTTCTCTTTCTGGTAAGTGGAGTAAATTAACTTTGTGACTCTCACATTATAAAGTAAATATATTTTCTTTGTTGCATTCTTTCAATATTTGTATTCCTCCATTTAGCCTCAAAACAGGAATTTTTGTTATAAAAAGTAGTGCTTGCTCTCAGACTTGAAGTCCACTGCTTTGGTTAGTGCACAGAATGAAATGGTATTATCTACTTATGTGCATAGAATGAAATGAGGGATTTTATAGGGGGGACGGAGGCTGGCAGTGGGCGAGGGCCAACTACATCTGTGTTGGCAGATGAATGGAGGCAGGAGAAGAAGAGTCAGTGCTGGGACAACTTGGGAAAGGTGGCCTGGTGAGATATATAATGTATTGCAGTGTTTCTCAACCTTGGCCACTTTAAGAGAGGTGGCATTTAACTCCCAGAATTCCCCAGCCAGCCAGCAGGCTGGAGAAATCTGTAAGTTGAAGTCCACCATTCTTAAAGTGGCCAAGGTTGAGAAACATTTATGTGGTGGGACCATAATAGGAATAGCTAAGGAGAGAGAAGTGGGGGACACTGACAAGATTGAAACTGGACGTGCTGGGGGAATATATGCCATGCTGGAAACTGGTGGGTAGAAGCTAGAAGAAGGAAGCAATGCATACCACCCTTGCTCTCCTCACCTTATGTGAGTTTTATTTCATCTGGAACCTGGAACAGTCAAACCATAACTGACCTGAAATAGCTTAGTAGAATTTCTGGAATGCAAGTGTTTTTTCTGGGTTTGAAACAAAGACTATTATCTATTTCATTCACACCATGAAAGGGAAGACCAAATAACAATTTCACCTTTGGAAAAGACAGTGCCCCAGCTCCAGTTGTCATAGTAACAGCAAGTGAAGGTGATAGTTCTTCATTGTGTTTCTGTTTCACATGGCAGCTGGTCATTTTAAAATTCTGTATGTGTCCCCCATAGTGCCCTGTCCAGAATTTTAATGCTGTAGCATTAAAAAAAAAAGCATAACCATAGATTTAAGCATGGGGAAAAAAATCTAGGCCTTCACATCTTTGGTTTTATCATGAATTGCATTTGGGTATTTAAGTAAATACAATGCTTCTAACAGTGATGATGTAAAGGAAGTTCAAATAACTGTGCTAAATGTACATTTACATGTTTTTGCCTATTTCTCCTTTTTCTTCATGCTCCAACTCTTACGCTTTTTGAAATCATAGAATACGGATTAATTTATAATGCTGGGAAATTAAGGTTTTAACATCCAATTCTGGCTTGAATGCATTTGTTCTTAAGGTTCCATCTTGTGCAACCAGAAGTAGCCCCCCCTCCACCCTTTCTTGAACTTTCTTGCTATTAGCCATTGGAAGGTC